TTACTCCCGCAAGGGAAACCGATAAGCAACGAACCAAAGCTCTGTGTGAAAGGACTGCATAAGCTGCCGCATGGTTCCGTGAGTCACGCAACTGCATTGGACTCACGACGACCCGTTGGGTTAGGCTTCGGAGTCAGATGACCCGGTCGTGGTTCGTCGCGAAAAACCTCTTCGTCCCGGCGGGCAACCGCGAAGTATATCATGCCGTGAAAGTATCAGCTATTCATTCTCCTCTATCTAGTCTTTTCTCACACTCTCATCATCATCAGCGTACAGCGAAATACGGAGAAGCGAACTTGATCGCTGCCAAACTCGAAATGCATATGCAGTTGGGTTTGATAGACGGGTAATGCTAGGGTGTCCAGTCACACTCTCAGAACAGACGAAATGCTTCCAATTTTTGCCTGTGCGCCGGAGAAGTTTGTTTAACTATTGTCATATCTGTAGACCGACAGTGATGCCGCGTCCAGACTCACAACTCGTTCAAACATGCGTTCACCACGGAGGGGTAAGGTTGCATCGCCCTCGCCTGCAGTCAATTTACTTATCGACTCGATTATGAAAAATGACGAGAACGACAGTATTGATGTGCTTCTAGGAGGCGACTATCCGATCTGGAGTATATAAGCGACATTGATTACTCAGTAAAAACCTGGGTAAAATGCAAACTTTCATGGATACCTTGAATATGGGCGTAGCTATTGGAACAACTGCTTGACCTCCATGGAATGCCACCAGGTGGGTTTTCTTCATTATTCAACACGTAATCAATTACAGAGAACTGACAAATTCACCACAGCATATGAACAAAAAGAAATCTGAAGAATGTGTTTATAAGTTGTATGGGCATATTACTTTCCGGTTGCCCTGACCGAGGAACGGGGATAACCTCGGGGTCCCCAAGCGATTCCCTTGGCTAGAAAGCCAAACCTGCAAGACAACAGGACGGAGCTCAGAGTCCGCAGTCCGTTGGGGGCCAGTGTCCAGTGCATCTGATCATACGCCCTTTGGAGGGGGTCAAACGTCCAAGATGCCCAATACACCTCGATGCCCAATTGAGCCGGTGACCACTGCCGCGACTAGGAAGGTGTGCGTGTGGTTCATACGCCTCATCTTGGTTGGTTTCGAATCAGGGTTTTAGTAAAATCCCTCAGGTGAACTGCCAATGGTCCACCAACCCGGTTATAGTCCCGAATGTCAGCTTTTCGTTCTCTCATTTTGGTGGTGGGTAAACACCTCCGCCAGCACGAGAAGGCAGTGAAATAATCTGAGACGCTTAGTCGTGTATGGGAGCATTTCGTGAGGTGTGAGGGAATGGTGACCAGTCACAATTCCAGACACTCACAGCCGACCATACTGAGGCTTTCGGACGATCTCTGGTCGTTAGATGTTTCCAGAGCTAGCTAATGAGTCCAAAAAAGGTAGATGAGTTCGGGGGGCATGAAAATCCTGACCATGGCCTCGGACATAAGGTTCGCGACTGGGGACCTTAGGATCAGACTAGTCGGTGATTAGCCACATTTTAGGTAATGATTGGATGTAGAAGACAGAGTCTCCGATGCATTTACACAATTTCTTCACATACGTATATTTTTTATCTGCATCATGGTAATGCTTTCTCNCCCCCCCCCCCGTGTCCTCCTCCACTCTCCTTCATTCCAGTTAGAAAGAGAAAGATAGCGAAAAGTTACACCGCGTGATAGGTGCAAGATCAATAACGTACTGATACACCCGTTCACCTGATTGCAATAGTTGACCATAATCTGAGGAACTATTCCATTACTTCGAACCTCTACTCAGTTATCTCTTCAATTGTATTCATTTTAATTGCTCACGATAATTATGCTATAATTTTGTTCGATAATTGTTAGATGACTATGTGATTGCTGAATATCCACCTTTCGGGGTGCATAAAGCAAATACTTGACTTGACTTGACTTGTGCCACCATAATATCGAGCGAGTTGCAATGATCGATTTCGGGGACGCATGCCCCGAACAGAAACCGGAAAGCATCTAGAGTGATATTTTGCTTATTGTTGATTTGTTTTCAGCACTTATCTCTCGTCAATTGACCTCCCTTGTTCTCAGTAATGAATAAGAGAAAACATTCCAATCTAAATAGTAAGTGAGATTCGCATAAATCGATTGTTGTCCAAGTCAGCTGACACGTAGGGTTCACTTTTCCCGGCCGAATGAATGCAAATCGAAAGACAGTGAACCTGAGGTGACATAGACGGTACCGGTCCAGTTAGTTCATCGGGGTAAATAAAGAACAAAACGAATTCGGTGAACTTCAAATTACATAGTGCAATCTCGTTTTCCAGAAAACCGAGTATCAATTGGAGCGAGGCAACCATGTGACTATGAAAAACGCCAATAATGAAATAAGAACATGAGTACACACAAGCATCGTGTTTCTAAAATACACTTAACGAAACCATACAAAAAATAGGCAGGTATCTTTATAGGTGTCGAATTCAAACAAGATTTATTTAATTCACCCATTTGATGAAGAGAACTACACACTCGCATTCGCTCTACAATCAATCTAGCCGAAAACCGAGAGAATGTGTGCGTGTGTGCATATTGGGATGTCCACCGAAAAAAAACACTGTCATCCTGTATCGGCCAACGATGGACAAGTGAATCCGAACAATAACGGGTATTAATTGTCCTGTAGTGAGAACTGGCAATTTCATTGGGTTCACGAAAAGCAAAACTACGTGTGTATGTCAGTGCAACTGTTCGTGTTCGTTGGAAAGTGATTTTAGTTGGTTGCGGGGGAAGAACCACCAAATAATGAAGGTAAACTCACAGGTAGCCTCAAAATCGATTGAATCGACACCCAAGCACCAAACACCAATAACACATAGACTGGATTTCAGTAATTCATTCTCTAGTTACATGCGAACAATATCTCATTCGAAGTAAATCGGCAATCGAGGTCTCGTGCTTGATCGGATTGAAGTGATTACTTTCTCCGTGCGAACTGATTCTCCCGATCTGGACTAGTTTGGTCACTGAAAACCCCATACGGGCGAACACCCCCTTAAGTTGGGTTGCACAATTACACACTGATGGTATATGCCAATCGACCCTGTGCATAAGATACATAGTTCTTAGACGCTTCTGTTGGGTCAGGTGTCAAGGAGGGGCACTGGATTAATTTGACAGCGTCAGTCAACTTTCAGGTATTCTGTGCATAGTGCGTTTCTGTATGCTAGGGCTCAGAACAACACGATTGGCAGATGGCACCAAAATCTGCAATACTGTAACAGAACCCTAAGAAGAATCCCTGTAATTTCAAGAAATACTTAACGCAGGTGATCAATGGTCTACAGAGAACGACCTTGGATTCAATGTTTCTAAATGCAAATTCCTACTCATGAGCTACAGCAGTAGATTCTCGTATTTCCTCAGAAATTATCAGCTGCCGCATACATTGTGAGGACTTTGGTATAACAACTGTTCAAGAGGATTTGAACTGCTCGATCAATTGCGTCGGGGCTTTGTCCGCTGCTGTGAAGAATGTCGGCTGTCTTCAGTCGAATCGAATCAGTGTAGTTCCCACGTTTGCTTTCGGTGTACATTCGATCGTACCGAGGGGTACGCCATTGAAGATCGGAGCCTATGGCTACAACATGATCATAAGATACTGTAGCGTCCGTAAGGGATTGCCACCACGATGGTAGCTATTTTTTTATTACACAAAGTGAACTACAGTAAACGGGGAAATCCCTATGAGCAAATAGTATACTAAGGGGGGAGAGTGAGGGAACATTCACGTAAGGTCCAGTTTATTGATTCTGCGTTTAAAAACAGTAAGATTGTAATTTGGGGGGAAAACAATCAGGGAGAGGGTGTTCCACAGTTTAGCAGTTCTGGGGAAAAAGATTGGATTAGAGAGGTACGACATCTGGGAACAGAAACCTGATAAGGATGACTAGATGCCTGTGTACGGGATGGACGGGAAAAAGTTGCAGGAAGAGGAACTGCCGAGGCAAGTTCCGAAGAACGAAAACTAAAGTAGTAACGGTAGAAGAGGGACAACGAAGCAACTGCCCGACGATGGGCTAGCGACTGTTGTAGACTGGATGTTAAGGAAGGATCATCGGTCAACCGGATGGCCTTTCGTTGAACACGATTAAGAAGGGAAAGGGAAGACGAAGCCCCACCCCACACGTGACTATAGTATTCAAGACCAGGGCGGATTTGAGCTTTGTACAATAGAAAAAGGTGAGCTGGGATGAAAAAACGTCTGGCGCGAAAAAGAAATCCGACCTTGAGCGCGGCACGAGAAGCAAGCTTAGCTATGAAAGGGAACCAGCAATAAAGAAGTTATAGGCAGTCCAAAAAAGGAAACAGAGTCTGTGGAACATAGTTGGGTGAAATCAAGACATAACTGGGAGGAGAACGAATGGCGTTTTAAAGAAATTGAAAGAAGAGATGTTTTAGAACTATTGAACGAAACGTGGTTTGCAATGCCCCACGAGATGTGTTCGAGATCGGAGTCTAGTGACGCATCAACTGCACTACAGTCACCATCGATGTTGGTTTGGGCATGGCGAGCAGCGCGGTAGGAGAGAGAGCAGTG